GCGGTGTGTCGGAGACAGCCTGCGCTGCGGAGGGGGCGAGGGCACTCCCTACTAGCTGACGGGGTGCGGGGAGGAGGCCGGGTCCCTCGGGGTGTGCTGCTCCAGCTGGCCCCGGAGCTCTCCGTTCTGCCTGTCCTGCTGGGAGAGGAGGAGGTTCACGGACTCCCGGATGTCCTCCAGCAGGGCCAGCTGCTCCTGCGCGATCTGGGTCTGCACCTGCATGTTGTTGTGCAGGCACTCAAGGAGGCCGAAGCACTCCTGCGGCTGGTGGTCGGGAGCTGGAAAAGAGGAGACAGGGCGGGGGCCAGGCAAAGGATGACTGGCTGCGGCCGCCCCTTCCCGAGAAGGCACCCCCTTGGCTCCACCTCGGGCAACAAAGTCAGAGCCGTCAGCTCTGGAGCTTTTCCAAACGGTACATAATGCTAAGCCATGGTTTGCTGAATGTCACAGAAGCCTAATTTGCATAACGTTAAGCTATAATGTGGTTACTCTGGGCTTTGTGTGATCTCTGAGTCCAGCTATAATGGCTTAGGGATGTGTGCAAACCAGTCAAGGGAGGGAGAGAGAGAAAGAATCGACTGTCGAGAACGTTTGTAGCTCGGGACTGAACATCTGGGTTCTTGAGTTCTCTGAGCCTGGTGGTTTGCTTGCTGACGTTTCATTGCCCCGCTAGGTAACTTCGTCGGTGCTGGTGCAGGGGAGTTTGCCGGCTGCTGGTATATGGCAGCTTGGCCTGCCACTCGTGGTTCGGCTGGGTTTCTTCCTTCATGGTTCCTTGTTTAGGGGACTGCAGGAAAGCCACCAGGCTCAGAGAACAGCGAGAACCGAGGCCTCCCCCGCATATGCAACCAGTTCAAAAGAGAATCCTTGGCTGGTTGGTGAGGCTTATTTCCCTGGGCCTAACGGTGTGGCTAGTTTCAGGTGGCACACAAGGCCAAAATCAAACAAACCACCTTGAAACTTAAACTTATGTGTTAGCCAGGCCATTCCAGTGACTGCTTTTCATGCCATGCTACACTTTTTTGCTTTGAACATGAACATGTAAATGAAGCCTAGTCTAGTTCACACATGCCGTAAGTCATGGTTTACAAACTAACAACTGAGTTCACTGTAGCAAAACAAACAATCACATGATGGTTTAGTATCATGTGCAAACCATTGCACGTGATACTAAATTAATCTCCCCCATTGGGGGGAGATGGGCGGTCGAAAAATTTAATAAATAAATAAACAAACAAACCCTTGGCTGCATTCACTCACTGTGCTAACATGGTTTGTGGAACAGGCCACACTTAGCTGAGTTCTTACAACACAATAAGCTGTAAGCCTGATTTTTAAGCCATAGTGGCTGTGTCCATGCAGATGGGAAGCCAAGGCCATGTTATGATTTAGTTTAGTGTGTGAATGAAGTGATGCTTTGCACGCCTTCCTGAACCTGTTCCCAGCAGACCATCAGGCTACAACCCCCATCATCCTCAGGCTGAGCTAACCTGGCCAGTCTGAAGACAGACAGCGCTGCGTCATTCCCCAGCCCTCCGTCCAAAGCTTGACCTTTAAGAGCAGCTTATAAATGCAAATGTGTCTGTCATACTTTGGGCTCGACTTGCATTCCCACTGCTGAAGAGGCTAGCCACCACTGTGTTCTGTCTGCCAGGATTTCAGCTACCCGCACACACACGGAGGACAATCCTTACAAAAATGTCGCCTTCCTTTCCCCGTCCGTGTGGCCTGGGTGTAAGGCAGGACTGGACTGGGCCTCCACTGAGTTGAGGGGAGTTCTAGAAAACTGGGGGAGGGCTTCGCAGGACATAAAGGCTTAAAAGAAGTGGCTGGAGGGCCTTCGAAGTCTTCTCCTGTTTAGAGAGAGAAAGGAGGCAAGAATAAGACCAAGCGTGATGCTGCTAAAAACTCGAAGCCTTCCAAGTGTGGGGGAGAAATCCCTGGCTTGGGAAAAGATGTGCTAAACCAGGATATGCTTTGCTTAATTTTAGCTTAGCCTAATGTGCAAATATAGGCAAATTGTGGTTTATTTAGCAAGCTAATCAGGGTTTAGCACAATTAGTGAGTCCAATAAAAATAGCGTTCCTGGCCAGGATTTTCAGAATCCTGTCATTTCATCATTACATTCTCACTTGACTGAATGGCTTTTTTGGTCCTTACACCAGAGATGTCCACAAGGGGGTCAAAAATATCAAGAGGGCAGCCACAACCAATCAAAACTGCCATTTTGACTTTTCTGACCCCCCTCCCCCCCAGATGCCCTGGTTTACACGTATTGAACCCTTAGGTTTCAAAAGGCCTTGACTGATGGTTACCTTTTCAGTAACAGCAGCCTAGGAAGGCATGTTTGGCTCCTCTTAGTACACTTCAGAAGACCAGAAACCACTTTTTTTGCCTCTCACTTTTCATCTTGTTTCATTTAGGTCATTAAACTGCATTTGGTGACTTTCAAAAAAAATTTTTTCCCCAAACATTGTCTCTATCACCTTGAGAACCTTGTCACAGATGGATGGCGTGACAGACAGACAAACGGAGGAATCAACCAGCCAGGGACACTACGCAATGAGAATACACAGTGCGGAAGAAAGCGCCAGATGTCAAGGAAGAGGCCTTTCCTCCTAGCAGAGTGAAAACAGAGACTGCCTCTTAAGATGGATCTTGCCACTTCCAACTTCTATAAAAATAACACGGGTGCCTAGAGGGTAGGGTCAAAAAAGTCAACATGGTGGCTGCAATGGTGCAAAAACCAGGCAGAGTTTTGATCACACTGTCATGGCTGCCAGGCTGACTTTGCTGATCCTACCCTGCAAACACGCCTGAAAAATAAGAATTATGATCAAAAACAAAATGCCTGATTTCAAAGTTGGTGGGAATATCTCAGTTTTAACTTTGGCTTGTTGAAGGTTTTGTTCACAATGCCTTCATTTACTCTACCCTTCCCCAAACAAGTCATTGGGTGGGCTGCAAATCCAAAGATCTACAGCAGTGTTTCTCAGTTTCCCACCTCATGCCAGCTGGGGAATTCTGGGACTTGAAGTCCAGACATCTTAAAAGTTCCCAAGGTTGAGAAACACCAATCTACAATATCCTGGCCCCAGGCTGGGGAAGGCCTGCAGTTCCAGGATTCACTCATTGGCTGTGCTTGCACAGAACAGAGAGACCTTAAGGAACTGTTCAGCCAAGCATGAGAGGTGAATCCTGATGGGTTAGTTTGTAGTCTGGTTTCTTCCTCACAATTGTTAGATTTAGACACTGTCTCAAAATGGTGCACATGGGATTCTGATTTTTCCCCATAACAACAATCCACTGAGGTAGAAAAGTTGCTATGCCAAGAAATTCCCGCTGGGTCAAAGACACAGCAATAAGAGCTGTGCAGCTTCTGAACTACAGTTCAGTTGCAAATACCTGCTGTCAATCAATCCTGTTCAACACAAGTACAGGTAGTCCCCGGGTTAACAACAACGGGGTTAAGGATGACCCATAGTTAAGAACGGAGCCTACTGTAGCAAAATTTGAGTTAAATACACAATACTACTTATACAGTATTATACAATAATACTGTTCCAGCTTACATACAAATCAGACTTAAGGACAGATCTTGGGAATGGAACTCATTCTTAAACTGGGGACTACCTGTAAACAGCATGGCCTGGTGGTGGTTTTAATTAAAAGCTAACAAAACTGGAGGCCTTTAAGGCTGCAGGCCAATATGCATTTTCCTGGGGGAAAAACCCAGGCGCATCTCCGATTTCAAAAGAAAACTTTCTCAGGTGTCACTTAACATTCTTCCCTTGAGATCGATCAGTTCCGCTGGGACTAAGAGTTGCACTTAGCTGTTATGCCTCTAACAGCACCTGGATCTCCAGACACAAGAAACCTGGCTACCAACTCCTGCAGGTCAAACTGCTGCAACAATCAGAGAGTTCTCAATAACAAAAGCAGCTTTCAGTTGCAAATCTATTAATACAGAACAAAACTTGAAACACTTACGTGGGGCTTGCGAAGATCTTCTTGGGGTACCTGGAAATAAACAGTAATCGTTGTTCGTGCTTGCACTGCTCTTCTTATTGATTTGGTAGATATTTTTATTTTGCCATAAACAGAGATGAACAACATAAAAACATTAGTGCTTTTCCACTAATTGGCTTCCTAAAAGCAATGTGAATTAAAACACGGACATTCAGATGGTCAGTTGTAAGGCCCTGCTTTGCACGCAGAAAGGTTCTCTTTCTCTGGCATCTCTTTGTGGAGAGAGAGAAAAGCACCAATCTGCAGATGACACCCTACTTTGGAAAGCAGGTGGGTAACATGTAGGCGTACTTTGCTAGAAATCTCACCGCCTTTCTAGGAACATTATCCAGCATCAACAGGCACACTGTGCTAAGCCATTATTTATTAACTGTGGTTTACTGAAGAAATCACAAAAGGCTGCACTTGCACAACATTCTAAGCCAGAAACTGCAGTTCACAATGAGTGGCTGGGTGCAGACATCATGCTAAGCCATAATCAAACTCAGAGACTTTCAGTTATGCAAACTCAGGCTAGGTTCAGTGCACAAGGAAGATCTACTGGTTCTGGTATGTTAAACCCAGCCACTGTGCTTGGAAGCCAGGCTTTACAGCATAGCCGATAACATTAACTCAGCCACTGGCTTATTCAACAAATCATTGTTAAAGTAAACCTGGTTAGGGTGATGTGGGAGTAAACCCACTGAGAGAGCTTTGTAGTTTCTCATCTGCAGCCTTGTTCACCTCCATCTCCACCTTCTGCAACCTGGTGGCCTCCAGTGGTGTGGGACTTTGCTTCTCCTCCTCCTCCTCCACTCAAGGTGACCTTGCCCACACTGGTTGGGGAACATGGGAATTGAAGTCCAAGGCCTCCAGCAGATGTCAGGTTGGGAGTGGCCTGGGTGGGAGACAGGCCACATGGCCCACTGACCTATCCTCTCCTGGGGTGCATAATTCACCTGGACAACTTCCTTTGTCTAAGCCGGCGTTTCTCAAGCTTGGGAACTTTAAGATGTGTGGACTTCAACGCCCAGAATTCCCCAGCCAGCATGGGGAGTTGAAGTTCACACACCTTAAAGTTCCCAAGCTTGAGAAACACTGGTCTAAGCATTTGCTCACAGGAAAGAGGGTCAGGGGAGGCCCACCTACTTTTCCGATGCTGTTTCTCCTCCTGGGGGTTTAAGTCTGGCTCCATCCGAACAGGACTGGAACTCATGCCTAGAAAAAGGAGAGCCATCCAATGAAGATAAGGAGCAGGAAATGTCAGCAGCAGCCTCTGTGGGGAGGACAGGGGAAAGACAAAACCAGAAGAAAATTCCCAAACCAGAGAACAAGCTCCCCTCTGATATGCCCTGGAAAGGCTCCGCTTCTTAGCTCAAGCCAAAGAAAGACGAGCATTCCAAAAAGGGATCCTCAGAGGCAGAGTCTCCTGGGGGACCAAAGGGAAGACTACTGGGAAGCATCAACCTGAAATCTTCTGGACGGCTCCCTTCCATTTGTCTCCCCTCCACCCCAGGACCCATCTCCCGCATTTGCACCCTATCAGGCAAAGGCCACCCTACTTGCTAATCCGTACTGTGCCCTCTCCTAAGCCAGGGGCGGGCGATTTGTGGCCTTCATCATTCTCTTGCATGGTAGCTTCCAAAATCTCTCACCACTGGCCATGCTGGGTGGGCTATCCACTGGTTGTCTATCCCTAAGATAAGCCCTGAGGCAACTAGTCTGGTGGGGGCTTGGCATGTGATATGTGCCAGCCCCTGGGATCGGTAATTCATAAGTTATGGTTTAGCAAAGTGCATGAACTGAGATCTCTATGGTATATTTGATAAATGGATCTTCCTCATCTTCGGCATCATCCAGATATATGATCCAACTCCCAGAATTCTCAGCAGTGGCTAAGCAGGCTAGGAAATTCTGGGAGGCAAACTGGGACTTCTGGGTAATGAACTATGGTTAAACATACAACAGCTTAGTATAACGTGTGAGCTTGGCCATTTCCTTTCCTTTGTCTTTTGAGATGAGTTCCTGGTCCTCATTTCCCACCTGAGAGTTTAAAGTTCAATCCCAGGATTGGGAAAAGCTAAAGAACCTGTTTTATACTGGGTCAGGTCAGCAGGTCAGCTATCTCAGACTTGTCTCCAGAACAGAGGAGAAGCCCCACAGCTATCAGGCTCCAGGGGTCTCTTCTTCACCTCCTCTCACAAAACAACAAACAAAAAGTTAATACAACTACATGAGAGGAACTCATTCTCCAAAACACCTGAAGTGATTATTTATTCACACTTAGTTTGGAACTACAGGTAGATCTCATTTAGCAACCTTTTGCAGTTACGATAGGGATGAAAAAGTAACCTTATGACCAATTCTTGCATTTACAAACTTTGCAGGTCTGTAAAGCCAAGGAGAGCTGAAGTAAGATCGTAAGCACAGTCATGGTTTCACTTGGCAACCGCTTCGCTTAACAACCAAGTTGACGGTCTCAATTGTGCTCGCTAAACAAGGACTACCTTTATTGTTTCAGTGGTACACAACTTTGGGGGAGGCCAAGTTTTGCACTGATCTGTGCCACCCAGAGCCTTTTTGGAATTGAGCAGCATATAAATTGCAATAATAACTGAATAAATAATTGAACTGCAGGCTGGAAAGCTGCTCCCTCCCAATTGGATTTAATTTACCTTAAACTTAATTACTTATTAATTTATATCCTGCTTTTTCTCCCAGGATCATAGAATCCTTCACAGGGACTTTGTACCTAGTCCTTGGACCACCTGCACTGCCCTTCTCTGAACCTGTCCCAAAATGGGATTGGATTATTTGTGGTTCAGCAGATTGACCCCCATCTCAGGTTGTATGAAACACTTTAAACTTTAAAATTTTTACCTCTTTGGGCATCCTGGGTTATGGAAATACAGGAGTCACATTGTTAACCTGAATTAAGTGTGTGATGTAAATCCAGCCTAAGGATATGAAAGCAGGATAGATGGGCAGGTGAGAAGATGCAGTCTGTCTTACTTCTGAACTCAAGATGTTGCACGACAGGCTTACCCATACTTAAATGAACTATGCTTACTGAATCAATCCAATTACTGTATCTGGATCTGTCTGACACACTAAACCTCAGACCAACCACACCGGCTGAGCTTTCTACAACACAGGGCAGGTGGTTCATGGCTCAGCGTCCCACAAAGGCAGCCAGATTTCGTCTGAATCTTTTTGAGGTGTGATGCCGAGAACTGGCAGCCCTATCAGACTGCTTGTGTCCAGCGTGTGGTCAACAGGGTGTTCAGTATTCAACTTGTTCCAATTTGACAAAAGCAAACAGAAGCTTTTTAGAGGGTTGGAATCGACAACATGAGTTGCGCATCTGGCAGCCTGCAAGAAAGCCAGAGAAAACTCCCGAACTTAATCCGGGTTTCTCACGGCGCTCACGACCTATTCTGCACTTTAGAACAGAGGGCACGTGTCAGGACAAGGAGCGAACTACAGTTCCCATCATGCCTCCTGGCATGAAGGGCGGGACTCGGCCGGGAGCACTGTGACTCGGCCCGAAGGCCAGACCGCAATCCCCACGACGTTCCTGCGGCGAAAGACACACGTAAATGCCGTGCCCCGGCTTAGGCGAGGCAGAATTTCGCCGTCTTTTGGAGGTTTCCCCCAAACTCGCCTCTGGGCTGCGGTCGGTCGGGAACGGAGCGCGACAAGAGCTGCAGCGGCCGCCGCTGTCGTGAAGACTTCATCCACCTAACCGCTGCCCGCCGCTAATGCGCACGCGCGTTTTGCCTTCCCTGCCCTTCAACGTTCCACCTCCCGCGCAGGCGCCGTACCGCAGCCAACTCCACCTTGTGCGCAGGCGCAGCTGAGTGAGAAGGGAAGGGATGCGCATGCGTACTGTCTTTCTCCTGTGGCGCCCTGCCCAAGCACGCTTGCCGAGGAGGAAGGAGGCGGAGAATAAGCCGTTGTTCTCTCAACGTACCTTGCTGTCAGGAGAGTGGGGGGAGTCGCTGGAAAGGAGGCGCGTCTTAATTGGCTGTCCTGAAGGCACCGCGGGTGCGGATTGGAGGAGCAGCCGCAACGGGCAGGATAGGTTGTCCGAGCGCGGTGAAACGGCGTTTTTCCCCCTCCCTCCGAGCTCTTGTTCTTTCCTCTCCTCCTCCAGAAGGTTCCTCGCCGGCTTTTGCCTCGCCTCTCCGGGAAGATGCTGGGCCAGCGCCCCGTCCTCGTGCTCAGTGAGTCTGAGGGGAGCCGCGAGGTGGGCTGGGGGGAGAGACCCCACCCTGAGTGATCCCTCATCTCTTTCCCCTCAGCTTTCCCCTCCCAATAGCGTGTTTTGGGGTCCCTTCGCCCCCTCATTTGCGCCCCTACTTTGACCTCCCTCAGCTGCATATCTGGGAAAATCTACTTTCTCTTCTCACGATCTCCGCTCTCTTTCTCCACCTGTACCCAGAAAGTCTCCCCACGAAGCAGCCCCCCCATTTCTCTGCTTCGTTTCTCTGGGACCCCCCCCCAAAAAACGGAGCGACGGAAGTCCTCTTGTTTCCTCTAGCGTCTTCTTAGGGGCAGGTGGCGTATCAGGTACAGGGGCGTCGACTGTCCAAGTAGAGAAAAAAAAATCCTGAAAGGGGATAAATTCAGTAAACGGCTGCACAGGGCCAGGCGTGGTCAGATCTGAAGATTCCTCTTCTCTGGGAGTCCTGATCTCACCAAAGGCTGGGTTCAGCAGGTTACTGACTTCCAACTGAGTTGGAAGGGACCTGGAGATCATCTAGTCCAACCCCCGCCCGGGCAGGAATCCTCAGACCGTCCCAGGCAAATGGCTGTCCAGCCTTTGCTTGAAAACCACCTGCAGTGGAGCGCTCCAGAGGTCATATTCCAATGCTTAATGGTTCTCCCCGTTAGGAAATTCCTCCTTATTTTGAGTTTGGATCTCCCTCTGTAAAGCGTCCACCTGTTGGTTCTTGTCATACCCTTGGTCTCTGTGGAGAATAAATCCACACCCTCTTCCTTGGTAGCCAGGAGGAGGATCGTTTGGGATGTGATTAGAGTTTGTGAAAGTGTCAGGCTGGCCTTACACATCTGCTCCAGTCTGGTTCCTGAACTAACCCATTTTTTGGGTCGGTTCAATACATGTAATGGTAAACTCTCTCAGTGGGATTGGCCTGCCCATCATGTTAAGACCCCGCCCCCCATGATCTACGTGTGGCAGGTTGTGTGAACCCACCCACCTAGTTGACTTTACTGGGACTGATTTCCTCAATTCCCCTTTTTAATTGTTGTGATGCAGAGGAACTGCAGGATTAGATGTGAAGGAGGAAGAGATAGGGGGTGTCTCACCAGCAGAAGAGACTTGAGGTAATAAAGGAGAAAGAACAGCAAGAGATAGGCCATGTTTTGTGGGAAAGAAGCAACTGGCCCCTTGTTCCTGCTGATTAATTGGGTGCCATTAGTTCCTCCTGTTTGAAGAGCTCAGAAACTGGGCAAGGAGGAAAGATGGTTTAGGAAATGAGGGACCTGAAATAAGGTGCAAACTTTAAAGGGACAACTGTGAGTCCCTTCCAAAAATGTCCTGGAATTGTAATCTGTAGAGCTGTAGTACTGGAGATGCTTATTTAACCTTTTCACTGAATGAGTAAAATTAGTACATGCATTGAATGTTGTTAAGTTTTGTAGGTTCATACAACACAGGGAACCCTAAACCAGGCTAAGCCACCCAAAAAATAACCAGAGTAAAAACTAAGCCAGTTTAGCATGTTATGCAATTGCAACTTCTAAGTGTGAAATGATAAATGGAACAAAATATTGGTTATTCTTTCTCCCCACTGATAGTTACAGAAACATCAGCTGCATTCACACAACAGATTTAACCTGGTTATTGAATAACAAATTTTCTGGGTTTGTACAATATTTTGAACTATAAAACTAACTAATGGGTTTTCACAATTTCTTCAAGGTGGTTACTGGATTAATTCATTTTGGGTGTCCCCATAGGGCATCAGACCCTAAGCCAGCCAAATGGACTGAATTCACACAACATGCTAAGCTATAGAAAACAGACCAAGCTGGGTGAATTATGAGACCGTAACCACTATGTCTTTTGGCTAATTAAATATATTGTGTGAACCCAGCCAGAGAACACTACAGTAGCTAATTCACAGGAATTTAACCATTCTGGCTATTCAGGGAGCTTCTTGAATCTGCCATGTGTAATAGCTGCCATATATAACAGCTTACTTGCAGTAGCATTAAGGCTGTGTGATACTTGGCTACCTGTAGCTGATTAAGTTTCCTTGCCAGTTGAAGACCACTTGACTGGTTCCCTAATGCCACTTTACAATGCATTTGACTATTTTCAAATCCAGAATCCTTTGCTTGAACTCCAACCTCCTCCCTATGTTTCTCGGATTCTTCAATTTTACTCTGCCCTCTTTGTGGGGAATATTAAGAGATGTGCTCTTCATTAAATTCCTACTGTAATATTATACTTCATGTATAAGAGATTTCAAAAAGGACTGTGGGAAGTCAATATCACTCTGTAATGTCTTGATTCATATGCTTGTCCCTTAATATTCCCCTATATTCCATGCATCTCAATTTTTGTACTTTTTCCTAGTTATTTTGAATAGGAGGGTTTTGTTGTTGCTGTTTTACTATCCTCAGAATTGGCTAATCCCTCTATTGGATTCTTCTTCATTCATAAAATGAGTATCAGAATGAGAGAGCTGAGCTATGTATTGACTTGTGGAGCTGGACAGATGGGGCAGGGGAAGTGGCCTGATAAGGCTGTGATTTCCTTCTGGCTGCAGAGGAAATCACAGGTTGCAGAAATAGGCAAGATAGGCAGCTGCATAGTTTAAACTGAGAGAATAATGGATTAAATCATATGCTAAGATAGTGCATAATGTATAAAATATATTTAGAGGCTATGGTCTTTCCATTTATGTGGTACGCTCTTTTGAACATGAAGGAATATGCTTCTGGGTAAGAAAGCATAAAAATATTGTAGTATGCAGTTGCTTCTGGATGATCACATTGAGCTTTATCGTGTACACAAAAGCCTAAGAATGGGAATGAAATAAAAGGAAAAAAAATACAAGTTGACATATAGATTTGCTTGCAGTTGAGGTAAAGAGGAGGTGGGCATTTAAAGAAAGTGATGCTGGATTTCTTTGGATGAATGATTTGATTATTTGATCAAATAGCTATTTTTCTTTTCTGTTTTCATCTTAGGTCAAAACACAAAGCGTGAGTCTGGAAGAAAAGTCCAGACTGGAAATATTAATGCTGCTAAGGTATGGATTCCAGGAAAATGTATGGGAGAGAAGTGGAGTGTGTACATTTGTCTTCAGAGCTCCACAGAGTATGGGAACTGGGTTGACGATAATTTTTTACTGTTCTAAAGCTGCATGTCTATTGAGGAAATCCAGCTCTAAGTCTTGGACATTCTAGTATAATAGATGTACCAGTGAGCTTAGCAAAAAACAAACAAACAAAAAAACCTGAGAGGTTTAGGAGGTGGCTCTTTAATTTTTTAAAGTTAATATGCTTTGTAGCATTTATTGTGAATGCTAAATGGGTTTTTGCCCTAATCTCACTGAAAGAAATTCACAGGAACCAGTTGCTAAGTAGGTTATATATAATGCAGTTGTTACTATGTTTAGTTGCTGTGCTTGCAACATATACCTGCCTTACCCTCCTTGCCCTGTAAAATAATTCCAGGATTCCTCTGGACTTAGTTTCAGCCAAATTAATGTTTGGCAGGATCTCCAAGCACAGTGGCTGTTCTGGGTGCAAAACCAAACAATTTTATTTTGTGGTTCACCCCATTTTATAGGTTAATTATTTTGGGGAAAAGTTAAACTTCATTTCAGATAAATATAGATCCAGTTTTTATAAAATGCTTCAACTTTTCTAAGCATTGTACACACGTTAAAATATAAGGTAGTTTGTAGCTTCCAAGTTCACAGTTGAATAAACATAATACAAGAAGAAAAATGAATGAAGAGGCAACAGGAAAGAAAATTCTAGAACAGAGTTCCTCAACCTTGACAACTTTAAGACAGGTGGACTTCAACAGCAAGGCTTGCTGGGGAATTCTGGGAGTTGAAGTCCACCCGTCTTAAAGTTGCCAAGGTTGAGGAACCAACCTTGACAACTTTAAGACAGGTGGACTTCAACAGCAAGGCTTGCTGGGGAATTCTGGGAGTTGAAGTCCACCCGTCTTAAAGTTGCCAAGGTTGAGGAACCCTGCTCTAGAGTGTGGCTGATTAATAATTGCCTGGCCTCCCTCTTGTTGAGAAGCAGAGTATGTCATCTTTCAGATATTGCTTGCCAATTGCACGGAAAAAGCCAAGATGTACCTCCTTCAGGTTTGGCAACCTCATGGTGTGATATTAAAATGTTGCAGGGCTTTAGGTGGACAAAAACAAATTAATAAGAAGGAAATTTACCAAAATGACATTTCATCAATATTTTGTTAGTGAGAGTTTCCTCTTGAACTGTTCATGCATATTCCATAATGACATAACTTAGCAGAAAGAGAGGCTATTTTCTCTCCCACATTTTTGAAATTCAGGGCATAAATATTATAATGGTTTCTTGCCTGTCCTTTAGTTTTTCCTCTGAAATCATGTTGCTGTTCTGTAACTCTTCTCATTTTAGACTATTGCTGATATTATCAGAACCTGCTTAGGACCAAGGGCCATGATGAAGGTGAGGATTTTTTTCCGCTCATTGCTTCATTAGCTCACAAGAGATAACCTGAATCAGCTTATACTGTATTGCATTTTGTGGATACTAACAAGAGTTCCCTGAATCTCCCATGCAGATGCTGTTGGACCCAATGGGTGGAATCGTCATGACAAATGATGGCAATGCTATTCTTAGAGAAGTAAGTCACTTTAATAACAACATCCGATGCTTATCCAAAAGACTGGCATCATTTGAAAGATGGTTTTCCAATACTTCATTTTTAGTCAGAATCTTGACTAAAGATGTGGGGTGAGAATTTCACCTTAGTGAGATATCCCAGAAGTTCATTTTCTTTAATGGCTAAAATGGTTATAATTTCTGAGTGCAGAAATATGTGCGGAACTCAAACTGTAAGCCCCAGGTGCTATTTCTCTTTTGCCTTGCACTCTGCTCTGTGTTGCTCTGAACCCTGCTCCTCCCCTAGGTTTCCCTTTCCTCCTTTTGGTTCAGTGTTAAGGATCCCTTTCTTTGGGATCTGGTGCTGATCTAGTTCTAGGCACCCTTGTGTTTAGGAGAATCTAGTAAGTCTCCAGAGAGCAGGTGTCCTCCAGTGTTAACTGTTTGCATCCATCCATCTCTCCTTCATTACAGATTCAAGTACAGCATCCAGCTGCCAAATCCATGATAGAAATCAGCCGTACTCAGGATGAAGAAGTGGGTGACGGGACCACATCTGTGATTATTCTTGGTAAGATGCGCGTTTGTGGATAAGTATGCAAGTACATTAGATGACCAGATATTTAAGGTTGTCAATCTATTGAGATATACTTAGTACCATTAAGGGGCATAAAGGGAGATCTCAGCATGAGTAAGTAAGCAAAATCCACTTGCCTCCCAGTGGATTGCTTCAAATTGTTAATTTGTGTTAAGCTGCCAGTTGGCATCCGCAAATTCTAGTCTTCCCCCCTCCCTCCCAGCCAATGAAACCCAGAGGGTGACTTTGGGCCAGTCACTCTTTCTTGGGCCAACCTACCCTCGCAGGGTGGTTGTTTTGAAAAAAGAAGAAGGAACGCCATTTAAGCCATCTTGAGCTCCTGGACAGAAAACAGGATAGAAATGAAATATGTAATAAAATACATAAGGAGTTCCTAAGTGGAAACCAATCCTTTTAATATACTTGGAATTGGCAAGAATAAGAAAGGATAATTATCTGTTAATCTAGTGCAGTGCATCTGTCAAAAGGAAGATCTTTTTGTTGTTGTATTCCAACTTCGTTGAGTGCCTCCATCTCAGATCATCCGATAGATGGCCAAGTGATAAAAGACAGTGCCTTAAAGGCCCTGCGAGGCACTAACAACTTTGCATGTGTTCCCATAACTTATCCACAGTGATAAAATACATCTCTCTTGTGTTACTGTGTGGAATTCTGATGCATTGATGTTAGTATGAACTGACATTTTTGTTGGGCCATGAAAGATACTCTAGTGCTTCTGTTCGCATGGTGATTCAAATAAATGGCACAGTGGTCACAGTCTCTTCTCCTCCCTTAGCTGGAGAGATGTTATCAGTGGCAGAACATTTCCTAGAGCAGCAGATGCACCCAACAGTAATCATTAGTGCATATCGAAAGGCCCTGGATGACATGATCAGCGCTCTGAAAAGAATCAGGTGAGCAGAATGGGGGAATACTAGGAAGAAATGTGGAGAATGCAGGGAATTTAGGGATGTATTTCTGAGCATTTGAAGGAGCAGCAGTAGGGGGAAATGGCTTGTGTTGATGGATTAGGACCACCACCATGCACTATATTTAAAAGCAAGCCTAATTTTCATTCTAGATGATAGATGCCCTTTTTTTTCATCTGTGGAAAGTCCCAGGGTCGGTACTTGGTAAATGCTCATTCGTTCTCTCTTCCCGAGTCCTTGGAAAAAAAATCAGGAGAAGTCTGGCAATGTGTTTTCCAACTAACAAAATAACTACCAAATTCTGACTAGCATAAGCTGCAGGTCACAAAAAGCTAAAATTTGTTAGTTGGAAAAGGTGCTACTAGACTCCTCCTGATTTTTTGCCACCACAGTCCTTGGAAGGGACTTTTTAATTGTGTTAGATAAAGCTGGGCAAGATGGAACACTGGCTGGATTTGTTATAAAGCATCTTTATAAATAAAGAAGTTCTACAAATCAAAATTACTTTTAAAATGAAGTCACGCCAGCACAGCTTTCTAAAGAGGCTAGCCTGGCTTTCCCTAACCTGGTTTCCTCTAGATAGGTTGGACTATCCTGCCCATTATTCCTGAACATTATGTGTTAATTGGAGTTGATTAGTCAACAACCCTGGTGTGCACCAGGTTTAGCTAGATTTTTTATAAAGATGGATTGATGTACATACGAAATCTCAGTTCCCAGATGTCTAGGGGAAGGACCCTGAAAGTTGAAAGGTCAGCAAATGTCTGGAGAGTTCCTTTGTCCTTGGCTATTTGGAAGGTGCTTGTAGTCTCTGATTGACTTCTGGATAATGGGCAATGGGCTTATGCTTGGTTTTTGCAGCACTGCAGTTGATGTCAGCAACCGTGAGACCATGCTTAAAATCATCAACAGTGCCATCAGTACCAAGGCTATAAATCGTTGGTCAGATCTGGCCTGCAGTATTGCCCTTGATGCAGTCAAAACAGTGGAGTTTGAAGAGAACGGCAGGAAGGAAATTGACATCAAGAAATATGCTAAAGTAGAAAAGGTACAAAGAAGAAATGGATTTCTGTAGCTGGGGTGGGATTCTGGAGGAAAGAGATTTGAAGAATCAAAATCAAAACTGATACTGCCTTATATTGTGGAAATAAGATAGTATGTATGTTGTTTTTTAGTAGTCCCAGTTTACACACAAGATTCGCAGGATCTCCACCTTTACGAAACTCAGACAGCATGGCTAGGTAAAAGTCTGGTAACTTGGAGAAGTCAGTGTAGAATACTGGGCCAGTGCTCAGTCTTAAAGTAGTAGAAGGCTACGTGTCCTTACTGTGAGTAGTTGTTCTTCAAGAAGGGAGAGCTCTGAAAAAACCCTCTCTCCAGTTGACTAAGCCTGTCTGTTCTAGAATGAACATTTTGATCAGTGTGCACTTCTGTAGAAAAAGGATTTGCCATTTTATAACAGTCAAACTTACTTTCAGATCATCAGGAGAGGACCTGGCTCAGTTAGTTGCTTCTTTGAAAAGGATGTTCAGGACGTTATGCATGCAGGCAGAGTGTGCAGTTGGAAAGCCTTGATGGTCATTGTGGTTTAGATAGCAGTCTGTAAATGGTTGCGTCCTTACCCATTTATGTGTCCCTGAGAGATGTTCAGTCTAGAAGCAAATCCAGTGGCTCTTGCTATGAAGTCTGAATAGCCCTTTGTCATCTTCAGATTCCTGGTGGTTTTATTGAGGATTCGTGTGTCCTGCCTGGGGTCATGATCAATAAAGATATCACTCATCCCCGCATGCGCCGCACCATCAAGAACCCGCGTATTGTTTTGCTGGACTGTTCGCTGGAGTACAAGAAGGGGGAGAGTCAGGTCTGTCACCTTGTGAAGCTTCTCTTTGCTGTTTTTCAGAAAGCCAAATTCTACACAGTAGATAGGTGGGAAAATGGTACCTGTTTAAGCAAGTTTGTACATTGTTCAAATATTGTATTGCCATCATTGTGAACTCACCCAGAAGTTTTTGCCTCCTTTTATGCAGACTGATATTGAAATAACCCGTGAGGAGGACTTTGCTCGCATTCTACAGATGGAAGAGGAATTTATTCAGCAGATGTGCGAGCAGTTGATCAAAGTCAAACCTGACCTCATCATCACAGAGAAAGGAATCTCGGGTAAAGCACATGTCCATTGCTATTGAGACAAGGCTTGGCAATGCTCTGTTTATCTCCCTGTGGAAGGAGGGTATGTAACTAAACTTTTTTTTTTATCTTTAGACCTGGCTCAGCATTTCCTGATGAGAGCTAACATCACAGCAATCCGCCGGGTGAGGAAAACTGACAACAACCGGATTGCAAGGTGAAGATGCCTAAATTATTGCAAGAGGAAGTAGAAACTAGTCCCTAGAGGAGGAGCAGCAGCAGCAGCAATCTTAATCATAGCAGAATATCACAGTTGAGGGAGAGATTTCTTTTGCATGGCTGCTGCTTCTGTTGCTACTGAGAGAAATAGTTCTGACCTATTTTGGAAGGCTTTGAGTAAGTTGTGCATATAGTTCAGGAAATATGGTAAACTCAGAACAAGAAGCAGATTGTTCTAGCAAGTCCAGGAAAGAAACTTATTAGATGCTGGCTGTTTTGCATTAAGGAGGGGCCATTACAGTACATTTTTTGCATGACAGGTAACTTCATGCACATCTGAGCCTTCTCTCTGAATTTGCCACTGGCAGGAAAACATGATGGGTAAAACCAGCTGCCAAGGAAAGGCAGGCACATGGAGTATCATTAGCATCCCAAAGCCGCTCCTCAAACGTCAGCTCAGCATTAGAGGAATCTTACTTTTTTGTGGCAGGGCCTGTGGAGCTCGTATCATCAGCCGCACGGATGAGCTGCGTGAAGAGGATGTGGGGACTGGCGCAAGGCTTTTTGAAGTGAAGAAAATTGGAGATGAGTACTTTGCTTTTATCACTGACTGCAAGGAGCCCAAGGCCTGCACCATTTTGCTCCGGGGCGCCAGCAAAGAGATTCTAGCGGTGAGCAACCTCCAGGCACTGTCCCAGGAGAATAACCTCTGAGACTGTAGCAGGCGACATAGGCTTCTAACTTTCCTTCGGTTTTTCTGGGGAAAATGGGAGAGGCAGCACGTGGGTTGGTTTTCTTACATCTGATTTGCAGTCAGTACTGAATGTGAGTGATGCCTCTCTCTCCTACCTGAGCCACTGTTCCGGTGGATCTTTTGGAGCATTTGGTCCAAGGGCTTTCAATGCCGGAGGTATTGATGGAGGCAGTGCAGCCTCCTGGCCTTTTGCAGGGCTACAGGAAACTGTTGGGTGATGCTACCTTAAGAGGTGGGCCTGAACGTTTTTATCTGGTACTTTGGAGTTTTAAAGGATGAGAATGAGAGCAGGAGAGCAATCATCATCATTCTCATGTCTGAACCTCCAGCTCTTGAAAAATCACAATTTGTTGTGATGTGGGGAAGGTTAAAGTTGGAATAAGAGCAGTTGGTCTCCCGGTGGCTGTCTGCTTCCTTTCCTGCCCTCACCTTTGAAAAAGGCCATTTGTAGCTGAATTTTGGCAGGAGAATCTCAAGGGACCGGAAGGGTGTTCTGGGAGATGCCTGCAGCAGGCAGGTCAATCTAGTGTTCAAGAAGATACCCAGATACCTAAAGCTGTACTTTGTAAACTCCTTTTAAAGCTGATGTGCATTTTTTCAGAATTAAAATTAGGCATTCACCTCATTCTTAAACTTTCTGGAGTAGGGTAGGATAAGAACAAGCCTAGTCTTTTTTGTATACTGTATTTGTGTATGTGTGAGTGCGTGCATTCAGCACTGTTCAGCTGCGGCAGTTATGAAGGCCAGCACAGAACAGCTACTGGGGATCGGTCTCCGGAAGAGTTCATTTGTTTATTAAATTTGTATGCCACCCATCTCCCCCAACAGGTGACTCTGGGCAACTCACAATTAAAACCACAAACCCAAGCCATTAAAGAACAATACCATATAAATAATTAAAATGAATTAATCAATTAAAATCTGACTATAAAACAAGAGTTGGACTGTTTGATTTGCTACCGAGGCAGACATGGCCCAGAATCGCTGGAGGTGTGGCTTTTATTCAGAGAGAGAAGGCAGTGATTCACACAGTCACAGCCTCCCCAAGGAGAGCTCCTTTTGCTACCTACTTACCACAAAAATTACTCTGGAGTGCCTCTGTAGTATCCCTCCGAATTGCTCTCCGGTTTGCCAAACAGCTTTGACTTGAGGCTTAAACTTTTGCACATGCGGTTTCCTCTCCTTGCTGCAGGAGGTGGAACGCAATCTCCAGGATGCGATGCAGGTCTGTCGCAACGTCCTCATTGACCCACAGCTGGTGCCAGGGGGTGGCGCTTCCGAGATGGCCGTGGCCCACGCCTTGACCGAAAAATCCAAAGTCATGACCGGGGTGGAACAGTGGCCCTACCGTGCTGTTGCCCAAGCTCTCGAAGTTATTCCCAGGACCCTCATTCAGAACTGTGGTGCTAGCACTATCCGTGCCCTCACTTCCCTGCGGGTGAGCATTGCCTTTTCCAGCAGGTAGTTTCCTTTTATCGCCAGCAGTGCTAATCCTTGACCTTGCACTCTTATTGCTGCTCTTGCCTTGCCTGCCTCTTGAAAGGTGCCGTGTGATCATTGCTTTGTGGGGGAGAGGAGTGATGTGGTCATTGAACTGATAATGGGAAAGGAGGGTAGGAAGAGTAGGTCAAGATGTAACATGTCCCCGGAAATGTTTCCAAACAACTGTGGAAAGTATTCAGTCAAAAATATCTTTTAAAAAATCTGGGAGTGAGCAGGAGGTGGATGGGTGTGATCCCTTTGAAGTTGTCGGGTGGCGGAGGTGAAAGATTTGGGGGGGGGTGAGGTTCTTGGTTTGGAGATACTTAACTACAGCTGTTGCTCACAGGCAAAACACACTCAAGAAGGCAGTCAGACCTGGGGCGTAAATGGAGAGACCGGAGCCTTAGCCGACATGAAGGACCTGGGTATCTGGGAGCCCTTGTCGGTCAAGTTGCAGACCTACAAGACAGCTGTCGAGGTGAGGGTGAAAGCAGCCTTGGCCAGAAGAGTGACTCTGGGGCAGCCCAAGGCTTCCTTGGGATGAAAGGGGTCAGAAGAAGGGCGAGCTGGGAATAACTTTCCCATTATCTCCAAGTTCTTTTCTAGCACTGCTCTTCTTCTGGACTGTTAACTTGTGCCAGTTCATAGGGTTCAAAATAATTCTTAGCAGCTGCTCCCTAATGTGAGATACTTTGTGTTCCAGCCTGTGCAAACACAGTTGGTATTTTGAGCTGAGTGATGGGGGCAGCCAAGAGATGCCTTTTGTAGTACTTGCATTCCTGCTCACCTTATATTCTTTCCAGCTGCAGGACGTGTTGAAAATTAAAAAATAAATTAGAATGGGAGTTGCTGGGGAAGTAGGAAATCCATCTATGTCAAAAATACACAAAACTTTAAAATACAGAAAAACCATTACCATTGTGTGTACTACGAGGGAATGACAGGGTGCAGGGGTATCCACAGGGTGTGATCAAAAAAGTCAAGATAGTGGCCACGGCGGTGCAGTTGAACGCCTGCTTCTTTTTTAGGTGTGCCTAACACACCTGAAAAACAGACAGAGCTTCAGTTACATCTTGACTTTTTGTAGCATATCCTGCAGATACCCCTGACTGGGCGATTGGCAGGACTGTAGTTCTGATGAAATCTGTTAAACCATTTTAGTTGAATGATATTCTGCCTTTCCCCAGAATGTGAAACTGAGTGCCTCCCAGCTGGGGGGAGTGTGGGGGTGGGACTTTTCCCTGCTGAGGATTGTTTTCTTGTTCCTGATTTAACCATGCCGCCTCCCTCCCCAGACGGCTGTCCTCCTCCTGCGTATTGATGACATTGTTTCAGGCCACAAGAAGAAAGGTGACGATCAGAGTAAGCAGCCGGGAGCACCAGATGCAGCCCAAGAATAACTCCTTGGAAAACCTGGGATAGTTGGACGCAGAAGGAGCCCAAATGACATTTCAAGAGATGTGGTTCGTCACCCCTGGATTCAAGAGTGTTGAAACCCAAATACCAATTTGTGTACAGTTGGTCAGGGAGAGGAGGAAGGAGGAGCAGCACTGCATTAGCACATTTCTGTTGAGGAGACACACTTTATTTAAATGTACTCTAGCTGCTTTGTGGCTTTCTTAATAAAAATACCCCTTCACATTCATAGATATATTTTTGGTTGCTTTCTCCTCTGTAATATTAGCAAGATTGACCTCTTGCGACAGGCAGGATCTCAAGGACAGCTCCAGAAGCACTTTTTCAGACACTGCACCCAGCAAACCCCAATTATTGATCTGGCTTCAAGTACCTGTCATATTTTTATTTCAATTCTGGTTTCCATTTGCCTTTTACTCAGGGATCTATCCATTGAGATAACATCACAATAAAATGCCAAAAGAATTGGCAAAGAGATCAGTTCATCTTTCTTAAAAGGCAAAGCTGAATACATACTGGCTGGATTTGCACACTTAAGCCATAATGTGGTTTCTTAAGGGGTTGTAAACCACAGTGTTTACTTAGCATGTTGTGGGAGCCCAGTCAAGGAAAGAACCGTATATCATTTCTGTACAACAGCCGTAATCCTTGTGCAGTGAGCCAAAGTAGCATATTCTTAATCCAAGACAAAAAAGCTGGCTTGTTATGGAAGAGAAGGTGGTGGTGACTTCTTTTCATGACAGGTGCAGGTGTTTGCTTGCATATGAAGATCTAGGGCTTCTTGGCTTAAGACCTGCTGAGAATAATTGGGGGGGGGAGTTTTGCTAAAGCACTTGAAACAGCTTTCCCCAGCTGGCCCCATCTTACTGCTGGGCTGCAGCCCCCTTTAATTGCCAGCCAGCAGTCTTTGTCAGGCTTGATGGTAATTCTAGCTGCCACACAGAAAAGTTGGCTTAAAATCTTTAAAGTGCCAAAAAAGAATTGAGGTTATTTTGGCACTTGCCAGGTGTTTTCTTGTGTATAAACAGTTGGGATTGCATGAAGTTGGAGGAAGCTGATTTTGGAAACCATGTTGCTACCTGTAGGAGGGGCAGCACCAGCTTTTCTTAGCACTGCAAGAGTTTTCTTATCCTTGTTCAAATTGAAATTCTTGAACAAAATTCTTCCTCTCAGCCATAAGGCTCTATTCAAATTCCCTTTTCTTTGCAGAATGCCCGTGCTTGGCTGGGGGAGGTGGGTCTTCTAGTCCAACAGTTCTGGAAGACAATGGGTTGGGAAAAGTTCGGGTGCCTGTTTCCCCAGCGTCTCCCTGTATGCGTGGTGTTTCAATAATCTGGAACCTAGGGCTGAATGTTATTTCATCCATTAAATCTCAAGAGTGATTGGATGGAATCACATGAGCAAGATACCTCCTGCTTGGTTGGAAAGTTTCTCCAGAGCATCTTCTAACAGCGTTTCTCAACCTTAGCCACTTTAAGAGGGGTGGACTTCAACTCCCAGGATTCCCCAGCCAGCACAGC